ATGTATGTATGTATGTATGTATGTATGTATGTATGTATGTATGTATGCATGTAGGAGTCAGGGAAGAAAGTCATGTAGTCAGATGAGACCAAAATGCTGGAGGATGATCTGATGATGATCTGATCTGATCTGAAATGGCTGGGAAGGAAAATGTCATTTGTAGCCCCTCTGAAAAATCCTTCCACGGAGGGCAAATATAGAGGAACGTTTAAGCCCTAATTAAACAACGCTGGAAATAATAACTATTATGAGACTTAAATATGTCAGTGAACTTTTTATAAGCGGCTTTTAGTAAGGCTCTTTCTATTCTATCCATCCATCCATTTTCATAACGTCTTATTCCCTAATGGGGTCGCGGGGGGACTGAAGCCTATCCCAGTAGCCAATGGGGAGAGGCGGGGTCACCCTGGACGGTCCCCAGTCCACAGTGGTGGGCCGTCAGGGCCTGCAAGGCCTTCTCTGCAGGCCTAAGAAAATCTCTGAATCACAGACTGATTTTAATAATATTTTGTCCATGGAAACTTATTAAATATCTCTAAATAGTCTGTCCGCTTCTTTTCATAGCTTTTCCCCCGGTTGCGCTGCTTCCAGACATGCATTGTCATATAAAAGCATTTAACAAATCACATTTCAGCCGTCATCTGTCGCTAGGCAGGGTCAAAGTCAAAGATGTGTGCCTGGAGGCCTTCACAATCCATTCTGATCTTTATACTGTATTTTAGGCTTGTCCCGATAGATATTTGGCATGAGAAAATTCCGATCAAGACTCCAGATCCATTTTTTTTTTAATCCCACACGAGCATTACCATCTCCTAACCCACAAGTCTGTGTCCTAAACATTAAGTTGTTACAAGAGTAAATCCCTGTTCAACATGAGTCTGACAACTAAATAAGTAGATAAATAACTTTCAACTTTAATACAAAAAGCTGGATCGGGACATCCATACTGTATTTCAACATAATAAGATGATTTCTATAACCATAAAATAATTATTGAGGGGTGAATTGATTCAGACGGAGCACTACTGAAGGCCTAGGTGTGAAATGCCCGGTCCGCCACTGCCAGTCCATCACAGGGACACTCAGAGACACACAAGGACCAACAACCACACACACTCACACTAAGGGCAGTTTGGAGTCCAACCAACCTAACATGCAGGTTTTTGGACGGTGGGAGGAAGCCAGAGAACCCGGAGAGAACCCACAGACACAGGAGAACATGCAGACTCCACCCAGAAAGGTCCTGGATCCCCCGGGACTCCAACCCAGAACCCTCTGGTCCCGGTTCCCCCTGGACTCCAACCCAGAACCCTCTGGTCCGAGTTCCCCTGGGAGTCCAACCCAGAACCTTCTTGCTGTGAGGCAATGGTGCTGACCACCACACCACCATCCTGCCCGTCTTTATATTCTATTCTTTCTTTATATTGAAATCATTGCATGTGTAAAAGTGATAGCGGCGGACATTATTAATAAAGTTGGGATTGAACGATCTAGAGATCAGTAATCTATTGGTTTTCTTGTTTTTAGTTAAAGTTAATAAGATAAAGATAACACTCTGTATTTACAATTCTTTTCTTTTCAGTGTTTTGTGTTAGGAAATAACAATGCTGTTTGCTGTTTTATAAAGTTTAACCCTCTCTTACTGTAAGTTTTAAATTGGGATTGAATGATCTGTTTTCGACTGCTAATGCCTCACCTAGCCTGTGTCGAAACGTGTGGCTCTCGTTCGTCCATTACAGCATTGGGTTTAACAGAGTTACATCGTGTCCGTGTTGTGTTTCTATTTTCCCCTTTTACAGGTAAGAGCGAGGGTTGTTTTATGTTAAAAAGGTTTATGAATGCATTCATATTATTTTGGTAATGCGGAGAGTAAACATTCACTCGTGAATACTGTCCGTG